CACACACCAGTTAGAATGGCAGTCATTAAAAAGTCTGGAAACCACAGATGCTGGGGAGGCTGTGGAGAAATAGAAACGCTTTTATGCGTTGATGGGAGTGTAAATTAGTTCAACCATTGGGGAAGATAGTGATGATTCCTCAAGGATCTAGAACCAGAAATACCATTTGACCTAGCAATCCCATTACTGGGTATATACCCAAAGGATTATAAATCATTCTACTATAAAGACACATGCACATTTATGTTTATTGCAGCACTACTTACAATAGCAAAAACTTGGAACCACCCCAAATGCACATCAATAATAGACTAGATAAAGGAAATATGGCACATATATACCATAGAATACTATGCAGCCATAAAGAATGAGTTCATATCCTTTGCAGGGACATGGATGAAGCTGGAAACCATTATCCTCAGCAAACTAATACATGAATAGAAAACCAAACACCATATGTTCTCACTCATAAGTAGGAGTTGAGCAGTGAGAACACATGGACACGGGGAGGGGAACATCACACACCAGGGTCTGTCAGGGAGTGGGGTGAAGGGGGAGGGAGAGCACTAGGACAAATACCTAATACATGCAGGACTTAAAACCTAGATGACAGGTTGATGGGTGCAGCAAACCACCATGACACATGTATACCTATGTAACAGACCTGCACATTCTACAAATGTATCCCAGAACTTAAAAAAAAAAAAGTATCTGTTCATATCCTTTGCCCACTTTTCAATGTGGTTGTTTTTCTCATGTAAATTTGCCTAAGTTCCATATAGATGCTGGATATTAGACCTTTGTCAGGTGCATAGTTTGCAAATATTTTCTACCATTCTTTAGGTTGTTTGTTTACTCTGTTAATAGTTTCTTTTGCTATGTATAAGCTCTTAAATTTATTTAGATTGCATTTGCCAATTTTTGCTTTTAGCGTTTTTGTCCTGAAATCTTTGCCCATTCCCCTGTCTGAGATGGTATTGCCTAGGTTGTCTTCCAGGTTTTTATAGTTTTGGGTTTTATATTTAAATCTTTAGTTCATCTTGAGTTTATTTTTGTATATGGAGCAAGGAAGGGGTCCAGCTTCTGTCTTATGCGTATGACTAACCCGTAGTCCTAGCACCATTTACTTAAGAGGGAGTTGTTTCCTTTATGCTTGTTTTTGTCAGCTTTGTTGAAGATCAAATGGTTGTAGGTGTGCAGCGTTGTTTCTGCGCGCTCTCTCTCTCTTCTGTTCCATTGGTCTGTATGTCTGTTTTTGTAGCAGTACCATTCTGTTTCGGTTACTGTAGCCTTGTAGTATAATTTGAAGTCAGGTAACATAATGCCTCCAGCTTTGTACTTTTTGCTTAGGATCACCTTAGCTATTTGGGCTCTTTTTTGGTTCCATATGAATTTTAAAATAGTCTTTTCTAGTTCTGTGAAGAAGGCCATTGGTATTTTGATAGAAATAGCATTGAATCTGTGAATTGCTTTGGGCAGTATGGCCATTTTAATGATATTGATTCTTCCTATCCATGAGCATGGATTTTTTTCCATTTGTTTGTATCTTCTCTGATTTATTTGAGCAGGTTTTTGTAATTTTTTTTTTTTTTTTTTTTTTTTTTT